GCCCGGCCGTGCCCGGAGCCCTGAGGGCGGTCGGTGCCCGCGGACACCTCTCCTCATCAGCCCTCCTGCCCTGGGAGGTTCCGCACACGAGCGGGCCCTCCCCCGACCTTGCTCCACACCACTCACTATGCCAGGGATCACCTCCCATCCATCTCGGTTCTCATTCTCTTAACTTACTTTAATGGGTTTATAATGCTTTTGTCAGTTTTCTGGGCTTCGGGGAAGTTTATTATTCTAGACCTAAGGGGAAGGCAGCCTGTGGACAGATCCAGGAGCAGCACTCATCCCACTGTTGGCATCGCTGCGTTGTGAGGAAAGCAGAGCGTGGCATTTTTATTTGCTGGGGCAGCAGATTCCCATTTCCAGGATCTCATCCACGGCCAGGCGGGCTCAGGCAGGTTTAGAGTCCGTGGATGCTGCTGGAATATTTGGACTGACTGTCCTGTGTGAAATGTTCCTGGATTGAGGTATTTACTCCGCTCTCATTCCTTAGGAGCCTCCCGGTGATCCATCGCAACAGGAAGCAAAGCAGAGGTACCAATGAGATATTGAATTTTGGTCTTGCATCTAATAATAATTTTTAAGCTGGGGGTTTTTTTTGATTTCTTGGAAGACATTGCCAGCTGTGTAACTTCAATGTACATAGAACTGCCCATGACAGGAAAAGCTGTAAAAGAAATCATGTAAATGTAAGGTTTGAAGTGACCTTCCATGAATCAAAAGCCTTCTGTAGTTTGCTGTTCTGTGCATGTTATTTTAGGTATTTGAAATCCCACTTTTAACGTGAGGTTCATTTTCCCTTACAGGGAAGCAGAGATAAGAAATACTATTTTAGCCCAAGTTCTTGATCAAGCAGCTCGTGCAAGGTGTGAGTATCCAAGTAATTTTCTGATAAAAATTTCTCACCTAGTGGAGTCCAGTGCTGCTCAAATCCAGCAGGTGCTTGTAGGGAGGCCAGACTAGAAAAATGCTGTTGTTGCTGAGAAGATAAAATTGCAGCAATATCAGTGATTGGAGGGGAGGGGCTACCTGACATCTGAGTAATGTTAATCAATTATTTGTTTTAAATTAATAATAGGAATTGTAGGGAAAGTCAAAACTGGTTAATCTAATAACGAACTGCCTTGTGTCTGGCATAAGTGAAAATGCTTTTTTCAATTTATTTCACAACCCTGGCATGAAGGAGAGGATTTCAAAGGAACATTTATCACTTTTTAGTTACTTGGTGAAGGTATTTGAGAATGTTTTAAACCCAAATGAGCAGAATCTGTTTTTGTTGCAGTAAGCAATTTAGCACTTGTGAAACCAGACAAAGCAAAAGCAGTAGAGAATTATCTTATACAGATGGCAAGATTTGGACAGCTAGCTGGAAAGGTGAGTATCTTTTCATAATTCTTTCTCTCCTATATTTCTTTTCAAATCTGATTCACTCTAAAAAGAAAAAGGAAAAAGGATGTTTCTTATAGCTGTAAATTAAATAACTGAAAAGGCAATTGAGAGCTTTTAAATATTATTATATAATTACATCAAAAACCTTTCATAAGAAAGAAAATTGTGATTCATTGTTTGATACTAAGCATTGCTCAGAATGTGTTTGTACAGCTGTTCTTTCACTCTCCCAGGTATCAGAACAAGGTTTGATAGAAATACTTGAAAAAGTGAGTCAGCAAACAGAAAAGAAAACAACAGTGAAGGTAAGCTCTCTTTCCTAAATGTAATGTTGTTATAAAACAGCAGAAAAACAAGAGATACTGGACCAGTTTGATTCAGGGCAGAACTTTGTATCTCTCTGCCCTGCCCTGGAGAGTGCTGAGATGAAAGCAGAGCAGGCACATCTGCAGCTGGTGTGTGACACGGGCTGTGCCACTCTGTCCTGTCCCACTGGAAGGGGAGGGATGGGGGGATGTTCTGCCCCAGGTAGTGCATCGTCAAATGCAGAGTGGGAAAGGCTTGTGCCAGCCTGGATTCACTGTGACCCCTCTAGTTTCACCTTACCTATTTCACTTTAGTTCAACAGAAGGAGAGTACTGGATTCTGATGAAGAGGATGATTACTGATGCTACTGTAAGGCTGCCAAACGAACGCCTGGAGAAAGGCAACTTGCTGTTGTTATCAGGCAGAACGCAAGATCTGAACATGTTTACGCTTCTTCACTTTTTTTTTTTATTATTATTATTATAAAAGGCCAACAAATGAACTTGTAAAATAAATTTGAGAAGGGGGATTTTATAACTTAAATTTTTGTAGTCTAAGAGGCCCAAGCAGTGCGAGGTTCCCCACGGCTTCATGAGCATGAATGTTTTGTTGCCCCTTACTCAGTGTGTAAGCTCTGCTTTCAGCCACTGCACACACTTAACTTGCTGCTGTTGGAGATACCAAACACAGCAGGAGCCAAGTGACAAGCTGGGAACAGCCACTCTCTCTCTCCAGGAGTTTAAAATCTTGCCTCCAAGTGGCAGAAGTGTTAGAAAGGAGATTTCCTGAGCCCCTGGCTATCTCCAAAAAAAGCAGGTTAACTGTGTAACACAGCACTGTTCAGACACTCGGTATCATATGTTCTTAAAACTACCTCCACTTTTATCAAATGGCTGGAGTGTTTCTTACTGGAAAAAAAAAAAAAAAAAAGACCATTTCCCTAAACTTTCTGCAACTCCTGCATGCATAAATTAAAACTGAACTTGTGCTACACCTTTATTCAAAAATATGGTTATGGAAGTTAGTAGGATAAATACTGTAATGTGCTGATGAACACTCTACCACAGACCCCTTATCTGACATAACAGGATCATGTATGAATCCACCTGCAGTGTTTTTTGGAACAGAATAAAATGGTTTCAAGTGAGCACTAGTGAGTATTTTTCATCTTGTGTGAATGTGGTTAAAAAAGTATTAAACAGTTGTTATTTTTGTTTCATTTGGACTAGATTTGGAATTTTTCTTGAATATCAAAGTTGTTCTTACAGATAAGGACAGTGACTTACTCTGGGTCTTCTATAGTGTCACAAGAGGGGAGAAAACTTGGTTTGTCTCTTTCCTTTGAAGTCTTTTGGCTTGTAAGAGCTGAACATCCATCCTTTTTTTTTTTTTTTTTTTTTTTAATGTGAATGTAGAGCTGGAAAAGGAGGTTATGTGACAATTTTGAATTTCACTACCAATTATATTTTGTACACCTCTGTGCCTTAAATCCAAAACCACACAACCTAATCATCTGTGAATGGGAGGGAAGAAAATCATATAGAACTGAAGAGTAAATTCCAGGAGAACCTTTAATTTACAACTCAGTACAAGGTGAAATCTTCAAATGCCTAAAAAAAACCAAGCAAGGAAATCTGCACAACAGAAAAATGCTTGGACAAAAGGACTCCAAGAAAACAGCATTTTCAAGAGTTATTTTACTAGTTTTTGCTTTCCATCATTTGGCACAAATCCAAGGCACATCAGAAAATCATATGAACCCATAAATTATTAGAAAAATAAACACATTGCCCTCAAATTCAAATGTCATTTGACATTTTAACTCTTAGATTAAAAAGTTATTTGAAAAACCCATCAGTCTGTCTTCCAGCTTTGTACTTTGCCAGGCAGGTTACTAATACCACAGTTAAAAGAAATTATCCATACAAACAGTTTGGAAAGAGAAATAAAATGCAAGCTGGATGTGATGAGCCAAGAACAAAAAATACTGTCAAACCAGGCTTGTGCTATTTACACGTAACTGAACAGTGGAAAATGAAACTGAAATCTAAGCAGCCACCTCGTAGTTCCCTGTGAGCTTTCAGTGATCACCCCTGGGAATGGGGTGGGATCTGGCATAATCCAACCAAAGCTCACTGATGAGAGTACCTTTTATATGGGAATCTCACCTTTTTAAGAGCAGTCCAGAGCAGCCTCCTAAGCAGTTCTGTCTGCAGATGTTGCCCAGGTTCAGGATCATGAACAGGTGTGCATTTTGGCATTACTTGCTTTAGAGGAAGGAAAAAACCAAACTATTTTGTGTGTCCTTACAAGCTTCTGCAGTGTTTTTATTAGGCTGTGAAGAGCAAGCCTAAAGTTTAGTTTTGTTAAGGGCTCTCTACTTTTCCCCCAGTATTTTGGCTCCTGTGTAAGAACTTGATGCTGCAGCTCCAATACAGGGGAGCATTGCCAAGGAATCAGCAGGGATTACATCTCTTCACATTAATAATGCAATGCTGCAGATGTTATGGCCTATTGTCTGCCCAGCTACTGAACTATACAGAAATATATACTATAATGGTTTGTAACATTACAATAAAAATAGAGACATTTCAGTTATCTCTGGCAATAAATACCTTGTTATCCAATATAACTTTTCATATATATATAAATATATTCTCAGTGTAGTGATAAAAACTGAAAATGCAAAAATTATTCAAAGACTTTTAAAACAAAGTGGGTGGCTGAAAAATACAACACAGGGTTTCATTTGGTTTCCTGTTACATAGAATTTTTTAGTTAAGGGCTAAGTAGGATAGGAAGGTAATTCTGCTGTCTACATCTTGGTACGTCCCTGTCTGTGAGATCAGTAATGATCTGGCTGTGTTACCTCCACCATAAACAGGAGTCATTCTTCAAAGTGCTGAAACATTCAGTTTGTGCTGCAGAGCTGTCCTGTCCTCTGCTCCGAGCACAGGCCTGCACGTGGCACCGATGACATACAGTGAAGGGTTATCAAAACTCACACCACCAAGTTCCTCAGCTTTTGGCATCAAATTCAGTGATCTGAAATGGAGTCCTCACAGCAGTCTTGTGACTGTGAAACACCCAGACTTCCAGGGCTGGATGAACCACTGTCACTGCCATCCTCTGCTGGAAGGGGCACGTTAACCGTGTGTCTCCGCTGCATTAACTGGCTCCTGTGAGGAACTTCCATCGTGTCATCTTGTTCCACAAACTCACCACTGTTCCCCATGTCCATACCCTGAACTGTGCTCTGGGCCAGCGTTCCCACAGACTTTAACTTGGTTTTGTCAAAGCTTTTAATAGCCATCTGTGAGGAGAGAGGAAGGGGATGTTAAGAGCGTTATCTACTTTCTTCATTGAAAGAAGTTGAAATGAATATGGTGTTATAATTATCATATCAGTTGCATGGTATTCTTCCTACTGAGAACACAGCAAAGGATTAAAAATGGCAGATTCTGCAGGACAGTAATTATACTTAGGCTATATATGAGAAAATAAGAAGAGGCCACATCAGTACAAGAACTGGAAACATAACAGGCATTCCAAAACTTATTTTCACTGCAGTATTCCAACATCATCCTAATTCTTCTAAACAGCTTTGTAATGCAAGGCTCAAGCTACCTGAAATTAACAGCCTTGTCTTTTACTATTATGGAAGTAGCAATACAGACATGGTCAACCAGGCACTGCTGAAGGTAAAGGCAAAATTTCCCTGTTTCCAGTTGTTACCTCTGAGGGAATACACACCCACCCTTCCCCCTCTCCCTTAATGCCTCTTTTTGGTCATTCCAACTATTGTATCTTCCATTTCCACACCTGCTCCTGATTCTTCCTTTACAAAGTGGGTGGCTCTCCTTGATTACTGGCACAATTGAGAGCTGTGTGACTCGTGAATTCACTGTACAGCCACAGCTGTATGAACTCACCCCAGCACACGCTGAAGAGCTGTGCATCATGGTCACATATTAGTTCTTTACACCTGTGCACTGACATGACACTGCATTCAGGGAGCCACAGTTATAAAATCTAAACCCCATGTTTAATTAAGTAGTGGAATATTATCATTAATACAAGAATTAATAAAACATTACACCTTTATAGCATTAATTTGGTGTTCTCGGGGCTCTCTGCAAATGTTCAGTCTCCTAAGGGCTCTATGAAATAGAACACTACCCCATTTTCTAGCTGGACATGAGCAGCACAGTCTGCATTTCCAAGGCTGTGTCAATCTAATGATGGGCAGCTGCTGGACTAACCTGGTCAAACCCGCTTTATTTTGGACAGGTTAGTTTTTCTGTTGATGAAAGTGTGCTGACACGGCTCAGCAGAAGATGCAACAAGAGCCAAAGGCAGCATCAGGAGGAGGAGGGAGCACATACCCTGGGTGAAGGGCAGCATCCAGCAGTCAGGTTGGTGTGGGATGCCACCACAGCCCCTGGCAGAGATGGATCTATCACATACAGTTGAGTCACAGCTGACAATGCAGCGTGCACTTTGCTGTCACCCTTGCAAGCAGTCTCCTCCTCTTACAAGCAGACTAATGCAAGCCCTGATTTTAATCCACTGAAAAATGTGTCTCTTGCCAAAGAATCCCTGCTTGGCTACAGCTCCTAAAACTGTATGGTTTTTCAGTCCTAGGTTTTGATGCAGTGACACAGAAAACAAGAGATGAAGCCTGCAGTAAGAGGCTTAGGAGGTTTAAAAGTAAGAGTAAGGTGTTTAGGAGATGTTATTGAAGCACCACTGAAGTTTGAACAACTATGAACCAGCAGCAATTTGGCAAACAGGTCAAGTGATTCAACACCCATCACTAGTAAAGAAACTTTCCTCTTGTATGTACCCATAGCCATAGAAAACAAACATATTTGGTACATTATACAAATAATTCAAGCAAGTATTTCCACTTACCTGGTGCAGTAACTGATAGTCAAAATTTGGGACACTTTTATCTCTTGTTATTGTTCTCCGTAAATGTTTTTCTCTAAGGAAGATTTTAAAGAAATGAGAGAGATTAAATGTCTTTATATAAGGCTTCCATAAAAGCTTCTATCACAGAAGCTCCACAAGGTGGAACTCTCTAACCAGAGACAGGCTGCTCCCTGACACCACCTTCCCTGTATTTTACTACAGAATAAATATTAACATTAAAAAATAAAATAGGCAAACCCCAACTAATGAGTGAACATTGGTTTTTTTTTAAGCTGTCTGGCTCTGACACCCTTAAATGATGGTACACCAAGTATTAGTGCAAACCCAGTTTTAAATACATTTTAAACACGTTTGTAAGTGCTCCTTTACCACCCCAGTGAGCATTTCATGCCCAGAACATCTGCCTGGGGATGTGAACGTGCAAGCCTCGGGGGATTAACGTCCACTGTCACACCAGCACGAGATGTGTAACCATGACTGACCCTCTCTGGGCTTTTTTAGCAGATGTATTTCTTGTTCATGTGTGGGAAACAACAAACACAGTCTGAGGAAGCTCCTCTGCT